CAAGCTAGGAACCCACTTTGAGACTAATAAAGTTTGGAGCCGGCTTGAGTGGGTAACGAATAAAATTGTACAGGTTTAACACAGTAACAAATGTATAACGTTTAGACAAAGCTTTTTATCATCAGGTACAAGTAGTTTACCTTAACACGGGAATATATTCCTGTATCTAGGTAGAGTGCTTGTACCTAATGATGACAAATTGTACAGGTTTAACACAGTAACAAATGTATAACGTTTAGACAAAGCTTTTTATCATCAGGTACAAGTAGTTTACCTTAACACGGGAATATATTCCTGTATCTAGGTAGAGTGCTTGTACCTAATGATGACAAAACCTTCTTAAATTATGTACATTTGTTACTATGTTTAGCTTTCCTCGTTAATCATTCAAGTCATCTTCAAAGTTTAATACCCACTCTCGTGTGTGTATAATGTAAAACTTCAAATTTCTAGCCTCTGGAAGCATTATTTCATATATGTTGCTCATTAGACATTAATAGCGCAAGAAACCATCATCACTTCTTTCCACTTGAGTACCGAGCATATGAACCACTTCTTGACACTTTATAAGCCAAGACATTAACCGCTTTTTTACACTTTATTACCCAACATATGAACCACTTCTTAACACTTTATTACCCAAGACATTAACCGCTTTTTTACACTTTATTACCCAACATATGAACCACTTCTTGACACTTTATTACCCAAGACATTAACCGCTTTTCTACACTTTATTACCCAGCATATGAACCATTTCTTGTCACTTTAGTACTCAGCACATGAACCACTTCTTTACATTTTATTATCCAAGACATTAACCGCTTTTTTACACTTTATTACCCAGCATATGAACCATTTCTTGTCACTTTAGTACTCAGCACATGAACCACTTCTTTACACTTTATTACCCAAGATATTAACCGCATTTTTACACTTTAGTACTCAGCATATGAACCATTTCTTGCCACTTTATTACTTAACACATTAAGCGCTACTTTACACTTTATTAATCAGCATATGAACTACTTCTTACCACTTCAGTACCTAACACATTAACCATTTATTGATACTTTAGTACCCAGCAAATTAACCACATCCTGTCACTTTAATGTTAACAACTGAACATATTTTTATTGAAACTCATCGTATTTATGTTAGTTAGACACATAAATATGGCTTATTCAAAAAACTAGCTTGATCTGCCGTAAGCAAGTGTGTATGTTAAATATTGTGTATTGGGAACAAAAATCAGTAAAATGTTTACTCGTTTCCTTAATTTTATAACAGTTGCTTCAAAAGCAGTATTATCTCGGGTTTCTAATTGAACAACTATCCAAGACATAGTTATGGACATACCTACATATGTTTATTGTCTATCTAGCATAAAGATAATGAGTTTTTTGTGAATGAGATATTAGCATGTTAAGAGGGTAAGTGTTACTACCGGAGCATAGAGTAATAACCACGATAATCCTAATGTTTCCCACGCTGTAACAAATTCCGACTGATACTAGAACCGTGAAGAAGAATTATTTGCCTCCGACTATAATTTCTACTAATATAAGGGCATCAAGCTTATCAATCTTTTGTCGCCACCTCCAAGAGAATTTCAAGCAAAATCGGTACAAAGTTATTCCAAAAGTTAAAAAACAAAAACGAAATAAGTTTTAGAAGCTTTGTAGTTTTATAATTTTAGTTTCCTTTCTTTAGCAGGTGAGATTTGAGCAAAGAAACTAAAATTATTCAATGAAAAAAATCACAAAAAGTTCAAAACGACACAACGAACCAAATAAAACGATTATCTTCTAGAGGATACACGAGGAAAGATAAAAGTATATGAGAAAAGCTTACATAAGCTGGGTGAACGATCTTACTTTAACTTTACGCCCAAATTAAAACGATAGTATTAATAAAATTAACTACTATTACAAATATAGTATATTCATTGTTTTATAGAAATGAATTAAAACCCTATAATCCGAGCGCTTTCGAAAGGCGGACCTTTCTTCTTCAGGGGCAAACTGGGAATGGTTTTATAATTTCTAACTTCTTCTTCTAGATTGGCCCGGCATGGTCAGGTGGTTAACGCACTCGACTCGCAATTTGAGGGTCGCGGGTTCAAATCCTCGTCACACTAAACAGGCTCGCCCTTTCAGCCGTAGGGGCGTTATTATGTGACGGTCAATCCCACTATTCGTTGGTAAAAAGAGTAGCCCAAGAGTTGGCGATGGGTGGTGATGACTAGCTGCCTTCCCTCTAGTCTTACACTGCTAAATTAGGGACGGCTAGCGCAGATAGCCCTCGTTTAGCTTTGCGCAAAATTCAAAAACAAAAACAAACTCATTTTGTTTGTATTCGGTATTGATTCACAACATTTGCAGAAACAATTCCTAAATTTCTACAGGTTTTAGTCGAGCTTTGTGAAGGTGATGACCAATTAACCTCCGCTAAAATCTATTTAAAAAGTAGAGGAAAAAATAACATCTTCCAACAAGCTTGCCCAGAAGATAATAAGAATACCATCGTAGTGGTACGTAATGTTGATAAGTAATGTTGACTGGATAATTCTTCTCTTGATTCATGGAATGCGCACGTTTTACTGAAATCACAACAGTACAAATTGCAACGTTAAGCGCCACTTATGTGACGTCATTTTAGTGTCTACTGACAACACATTACTGTATTGTGGTGCGAGTGGTTAAAACAGGTGACCTCAGACAACCTTCGGCCCCCTCTCGTGGAAATAAAAAGGGAGAGAGACCAAAATATGTATATAAATACCCTGGTGGCTTTATTCTACAAGGATTGTACTCTATTAAAAGTAAATGTTTATATTTTTAACGAAATGTTTTAATATATATATATATATACAGGAGCGACAAAAACCACAAAAAATACATATCGTTATCATTATTTAACCGTACCGTTTCAAATGTAGGTTGATCTCCGAGTTTTTCTATGACCTAGCTCAGGATTAATGAAAAAGAATACTATTATCAAAAATCGGTCTGACTGATAGGAGTGGACAGAGAAAAAAAGAGGGATCAACGTTGTAATATATATAAATATATATCTGTATATATATATGTGTGTTTTAATATTTCTTTACTTTTCTGAAACTTCAAACTGGACAACTTTGAAAATTATTTTCATGACAATACCTATTTCCAAAAGTCCATGTGATTAATATCACATTTTTAAAGGCTAAATGAAAGGTATATATGTATCATATATGTATCATATAATATGTCCATGGTGGTGCTCTAGAACAAGGGTTCCCAAATTGGGGACGAAAGCATTTTTTCGGGTGGGGATGGGGCGGCAAATGCACAAAAATTATCTAAGAAAATAATATTTCAAACTGAAATATTAAAAATCAGAACTAAAAAAAGTTCAATCACCAAGTCTTAAAATATCGTTCTTCACATATCTTGTTTGCAATGAAAAACAGGTACTCAGTATCTATAGATTCACTGGACGACTTTGATAACAGTCTTTTTAGTCCTTCTTACACTAGATTTTGTTGACTTTTATAATGGTCTTTTAGTCCTTCTTCCACTATATTTTGATGACTTTCATAATGGTCTTTTTAGTCCTTCTTCCGCTATATTTTGTCGACTTTGATAACGGTCTTTTTAGACCTTTTTACACTATATTTTTTGACTTTCATAATGGTTTTTTTAGTCCTTCTTACACTAGATTTTGTCGACTTGGATAACAGTTTTTTAGACCTTTTTACACTAGATTTTTTTTTACTTTGATAACGGTCTTTTTAGACCTTTTTACACTAGATTTTTTTTACTTTGATAACGGTCTTTTTAGTCCCTTCTTCCACTAGATTTTGATGACTTTCATAATGGTCTTTTTAGTCCTTCTTACACTAGATTTTGTCGATTTGGATAACGGTCTTTTTAGTCCGTTCTTCCACTAGCTTTTGATGATTTTCATAATGGTCTTTTTATTCTTTCTGGGTAGGGGTTGGGGGCTCAGTCAGGATGCAGAATGTTCTGTGGAGGCTTATACTGAGAAAGTTTGTGAACCCCTGTTCTAGAGGGAAACATATTAGTAGGTGCTCATGGTTATGAAGGAATTAAAGCCAACTCTAGATAAATGAGTCTTATGAATATTTTAATTATTTATATTTAAGGACGGAGATGCAAACCGTAGAGGACGCTGATGACCAAAATGTGAAACAGTTTTTCATGGAAAAAACGGAAAATGGACAAGAATTGAGTAAAGAACAAGAAGATATTGTGGATGCTCTGAATCGTAAGGTAAAACAATTAATGTTTTTACAATCAAAATTTCGATGTGAAATTTGATGAATCAAAATATTGTGGCCTTTCACTTCACTGCCCCCCCCCCCCCCC